CCCTAAACCCTAAACCCTCATCAAAGCTCCTGTCGCTGGGCATCCCCAGGGACTACTTTGAGGCCACGCTCGCGCTGGCGGCGCGCCAGCGCCGGAGACCTCGAGTGAACCAGCAAAACCGAGGGGGGCATTATTAGGGTTTAGGGTTGTTCTACCAGATTGGGGCTTCATAGCAAAGGATCTAGCAGGACATCGGTGCAGGATCCAAGTGGTATCGGGGGGTTGCTGTGCAAAAACAATGCGGAGCACAGAATCAGCGAAGGGCTGCACCGTCGACGAAAATGCAGTGGGCACTGGGTCGCCACAGCTTAGGGCAGCTTCGGGTTTAAGGTTTTAGGGTTCTTCGGCATCTTTGGAGGCATGGAGTCACCCCCATGTCTGAGCCGTACAGCGTACCAACAGCTTGCAGCTGCGTCAAAGAGCACCTCAGAAAGCTAGACCCTAACCCAAACAAAGCCTACTTGGAGGATCATGGGACATAGTAAGTAAGGTTATAAGTCCCGCATTTGGGGTTATAAGTAAATAGAAGTACAGTTATCTTAATTATATCCCTGCTTACTAAGTCCCATGATCCTTTAAGTAACCCAAACAAAGCCTAGAAATTCTCAAAGAGACCTGCTGTGCTGTGCTTTGCCGGCTGCATGGTCAAACTCAACTCGCGAGGGGCATGTTAATGTAGGGGCCTTAATAATTAGAAGAGGGTTTTGGGGCCCATTATACTATAGTTAAAATAAGGAACCCCCAAAAATGTATAGGTAATTATTTAGGCCCCTATATTACACATGCCCACAGAATTGTCTCCAAAGCATACCGGCTGACCATCCGTCCGGACTGCGCACGTGTGGAAAAAGCCGGCGGACACGGAGAGAACGGGGCCAAGGTCGGATGGTACGTCGCACTGTCCTTCTCTGTTCCGCCCGAAACAGACCAGTTGGCCAGTTGTCTTGATCGCGCACGTATGAAAAGTCCCGGCCGAGACTGCTACAACTGCTCCCAGGTCAGTCGGTACACGGCATTGCCCCTCATCATCACCTCCGAAACACACCAGCCGACCATCGGCCTTGATGGCAGATGTGTGAAAACCACCAGAGGAGACGGCCAAGACTGGCCCTACATCTGTCGGGACATAACATTGGCCTTCAGCGCACTGGCCAAAACAGACCAACCGACCATCTGCTTTCACCACGCAGGCATGGCCGCTCCCAGCAGAGACTGCTTGAATAGGTCCCAGATCCTCAGGCACCGCAGTCACAGGGGCGCCAGTCCCAAAGCAAACTAACTGAAGATCTGCTCGCACTGCACACGTAAAGTCACGACCGGCGGACACACTCACCACTGGTCCTAAATCGTCAGGCACATCGCACTGGCCCTGTCGATTTTGCCCGAAGCATATCAGGCGGCCGCCTTCTAACACCACGCATGTGTGGGAGCTGGCGGCGGAAACGTCCGCGACTTTACCCAGGTTCGATGGCACATTGCACTGAGCTTGGCGCCCCACGCAAGTCATCCGACCATCCGCTTGAAGTATGCATGTGTGGCCATCGCCCGCAGATACTGCCGGCAGGGTTCCTGACCCCATTGGCCTCAGGATAGTTCCATAAAGATCCTGTGCCCAAGCAGCTGCGTTACCTGATTTGGATGACTCAGGTAATGCACCGGTCCTAGGCTTGATCCGAAGCGATCGATCCCGCGAGAGCGAAGGTAGAAAGCGAAGCTGTGCAAGGGCCCAGTAGAAGCCAGCGGCAGTTGACAGAGGGTGCCTCAGGGTAAGCCATGCCATCACAGAAAGCCGAAGATGAGCTGCAGTCACTCACGGTTTTGGCAGTACATGTCGCTCTAGTGTAGACCAATAGATGACGAAAAGCTGTTGGAGGTGTCACAATGAGGGCACCAACTTTCGTACTATTCGGTTTCTCTTATAGGAGCTCCCCGAAAACTGATAACAAAGGTGCTTCTGGAGGACCTAGTTTAAAAATATTTTTTGGTTGGCTTCTACAATAAACCCTGATATAGAACTTATAGGGACCCCAAAACAAGCTCGGCTTTGGTAGTGCAGGGTAAAAAAAAGGGGCCTTGCTAAGGGGGCTGAAATCTAATGAATGGCTTTTGCCCTGAACCCGAAACCCTAAACCCCTAGACCCTAGGTCCTAAACCCGAAACCCTAGGCCCTAAACCCTCAGCCCCTAAAACCTAAACCGTTGAATGCTCTTGGACTGAGCTTGGCCTCTAGAATTGTGCAGCACCAGGGTTAAGGGTATATGAGGGTTTAGGGACTAATGCACGGGCCTGAATGATTAGAAGACGGTTTTGTGGTATGTGGTATTTGGTAGTCTGATTAAAACATCCCTAAACCCTAGACCGTAAACCCTAAACCCTATAGAATAGGGACTCCAACGGGATACCTGCACTACACCGCGAGGGCTTGTGAAGACTTTGAGGATTCAGCGCTGCGGGTTGGAAAACGGTTTAGGGTTTAGGGCGGAAAAGTGATCTAAACCCGAAACCCTAAACCCTAAACCCTAAACCCTAAACGCTTCGAGCCCTACCTCCTACAGCTTTAAAACCCGTGAGTTACAACAGATGAATCAGGGAGTTAGAGCTTGATGGTGATAAAATCCAGGCTCAGGGTTCAAGGTTTCAGGTAGGGGGTGTAGGGTTTTAGGGTTTTTGGGTTTATAGAGTCGAGGCTTATAGAGTTTAAGGTGATAGTTATTGTTTAACGTGTCTGTCTAGGGCAAGAGTCGAGACTTTCGTGAAGCTTGTTGGGTGAGGGCCAAGCGCCGGATTCGGCGACTTTGGGGCCCCACGTGAAAGCAACGATTTTTTTTAAGCCCTTCAAGCAAGCCCTTGTAGAAACCCTTATGTTTTAATAACCCTTATATCGCAGTAGCCCTTATAGTAAAGGAAAACCGCAAGCCCTAAACGCGGACATCCTACACCCTAAACCCAACGCTCTAAACCCTAAACCCCAAACCCTAAACCTAACCCTGAACCTTAAACCCCTCAACCCTACACCCCTACTGAACCCCCAAAAACACGCAGAGTGGAGAGGGCCCGGCCGCTCCATGATCACATACTCGAAAGCCGCGACGAAGCGCCTGCTTAGGGTTTGGGCTTTTGGATTTTAGGCTTTACTTGGAGGTTATAAGTCCCCTAATTGGGGTTCTAAGTATAGTTACCTTAGTTATAACCTTACTTACTAAGTCCCCTTATTCTCTAAGTAGGCTTTTAAGCGATTAGGCTTTTAGGTTTTGGGCTTTAGGGGTGTAAGGTTTAGGCTTTAGGCGTGTAGAGTTTAGGCTTTTAGGCTATAGGTTTGGGGGCTTTGGGGGTTTAGGTTTTGGGGTTTAGGGTTTATGTCGTATACGGGTGGTACAGGTTGTTCTAAAGCCTCTGATACGGTGTTAATGGAAACCAGAGGTCATAATGCTTGTTACCCTACGGCTCCATGTACTTATCTAGTTGCTACATTCCTTGAAGTACCTACATAGAAACCCGTTCAAGGCCTATGTATATACTATATAAGTACTTGGAGCCTTGGGGTTAACAGTATGAATGGATGAGCATGCTTCGCTTAACCTTGCCTAGAACATACAACATATCTGCCAAGACCTTGGTAGCAGTCAGGCAGCCTTAAACGCCTCACCCCCAGAGGCCTAGAGCGCCAAAGCCCTCTGACACATAGCCCTAAAGCCCACAGTTGTAGGCCCTCAACCCTACTTAAAGGATCATGGGACTTAGTCAGTAGGGTTATAACTAAGGTAACTATACTTATATTTACTTATAACCCCAATTAAGGGACTTATAAGCCTACTTACTAAGTCCCATGATCCTTTAAGTAGAAACCCTCACTTCAAAAGCTGTTGAATTCCCAAACCCAAAGCCGCTCTAGCGCCGTCAACGCTTTCCCCGACAACGGGACTTCGGAATTGGGGCACTCCCACCCTAAGGGTCCAAGTACTCGACTATATTGAGTTATCAACAAGAACCCTCACAATCGCCTGTAAATAGCCCGTTGGCCCCCTGTAAAGACAAATTACTTTTTGAAACCCCGTAAAGTCCTGTAAAAAATGGTAACGGCTGAATTCTATGTAAAACTCAGGAACCACTTTGTGAGAGACCTACTCTAGATTGCCCAGCTGCCACCTGATCTAGTCTAAACGGTAGTTGGGGCTCTTGATAGCAAAAAACCGTATGCTCTCAACTTGAACCGGCAGACCCGAAAACTTAAACTCCCTCATTAAGACCAAGCACCGAAAAACCTTGTAGTGTAGGGGCCTTAATAATTAGAATAGGGTCTTGGGGGATGCTATACTATAATTATGATAAGGGAACCCCCAAAATAGTATAGGTCATTAATCAGGCCCCTATATTAGCTACAACGGTACAGCAGACGCGGCTTGACCTCCACACCGATGGGTCCAGGCCCAGTTCGTTCTGCTTGATGCACGCCTGGGTTAAAATATGGGGGACTTCATGAAGTTTCGATTGTAACCCGTTTTCACGGGGTTTAGTCTAAAGGATTTTATGGTGTATCTGTAAACAGAAATTGGCGCCTTATTAACCAGAATAGGGTTTTGAGGTCTGGTTCGTATCACTTCATAGGGACTCAGGGGGAATCTTATTGCAGATTCCCTACACTGGGGCGCCTAAAGAACCTTCTCCAAACCTCTAAACCCTAAACCCGGACAGAAACCATACAGGAACCCTTAAACTACCCCAGACCCTAAACCCCCGTAGGCCCTAAACCCTTAAACTACCCTACATCCTAAACCCTACCTACACCCTAAGAATAAACCCTAAACCCTCAACCCTAAACCCTAAACCCTAAACCCTAAACCCTAAACCCTAAACCCCAAAGCCCCCCCTGGCTCTGGGGCTCGGGGCGGATGGTTTAGGGAGGTGCAGGGCTGAATGGTTTTTGGGGGTTCAGGGCGGGGCTCGAAGTCAACGGTGTCGTGTTGAGGGCTTAGGATTTAGGGTTTAGGGTTTAGGGTTTAGGGTTGAGGGTTTAGGGTTTAGGGTTTAGGGTTGAGGGTTTAGGCTTTAGGGTTTACATCTAAGGTTCTACTGCTGATGATATAAACCCTGCATTACCTTCAAGGACCCTGAACTGTGGGGATTATGGCAGATTCCTTATTAGGCACAGCTTTTTGAAGCTTGGGGTGATTCAAGGCCTTGGGTTCGGAATTTTAGGCTGCAAGAGCTGGCTGGCTGAATAACTCACTGATGTATGGGTCGAGGGATGATGCTCTTAGGGGTTTGGGGCTTCGGGTTGATGGTATAGGGTTTAGGGTTTATGGTTGATCTTATTCGGGTGTAGTCTGGCATGTTGGGGCTGCTGGACCTTCACTGAGTGCGCTATCCTAAACCCTAAACCCTAAACCCTAAACCCTAAACCCTAAACCCTAATTCAGGGTACCCGGCTGGGATGTGAGTTTAGGGCTGAGGGCTTGGAGTAGAAGGTTGGGGGCTTGGAGCCTTAGGGTTTAGGGTTTAGGGTTTAGGGTTTAGGGTTTAGGGTTTAGGGTTTAGGGTTTAGGGTTTAGGGTTAGGGGTTCAGGGGTTTAGGGTTCAGGATTTAGGGAGTAGAGTCTGACCCAAAGGGTCGTCGGACTTAGTACGTATTGAGTGGGTCTTCCGGTTCGGATAACCTCACTTGTGCTACCCACAACTCTGCTGATAACCTGCTTGCTCACTCCCCTCATCCCTTACAAAACCCTCTTTAACGAAAACAAACACACCAGGAAACACAGCTATAGATGACCCTTTCAATGTCCGACAAAGCCTCCATCAAAAGAGCCCTCATTCACGGAGCCTCTACGTCGTAATCTATGTGAAAACAAGTTGAGGAGGTTTTTTTCACCCCAGAACATCTTCAATTCCGACGTGTCTGGCGGAGGAACTTAGAGGTTACGGAAACCTCGAATTAACGGACGTAAAGCTAACGCTGAATTGATGAGTGTGCAGTCAACCCTTAAACTAAACCCGAAACCCCAAACCCGGAACATGATGTAGGAGTTAGGCTTAGGGGGACCCTGGGGGAGATAGACCCTCTCAATAAGGTCCCCATTCAGAGAGTGCTTAAGAAGGGTATGTTTTAAGGGGTCTCCCTAATACTACTCAGGATGATGCTAAACTGCCGTGATTCAACACCTGCCCCCGGATCCATTGCGCAATGAGGGCTCGCCGTTGGGATTCGGGTCTGAAGAGCTAGTGTCGCCTCGTGAGCACCCACCTGCGACATCCGGCCCCCTGCTTCATGGGTAGTTATAAGTAACTTAACTACATATTATAGCCCAGATCACGGGACTTCTCACTCCACTTATGACTACCCATGAACCTCCAAGTGGAGACTGTAAGCACCAGCGCTTCTGTCGCCCAGGCCCCATCGCAGCAAGAGTTTCCCATTGCAGCCGCGCCCATGCCTGCTTATTCGCCGTCCCCAGCAAGTTCGCCAACCTTCACGTTGCCGCGCGCCCCTAAACCCTAAACCCAAAGCCCTAAACTCCTAAACCTCCAACCAGGCTGAATAAGCTGAAACCCGAAATGCCGTAAATTCGCAGTAAATGAGACGGT